GATGTCGTTCGGAGGAGTATTAGCGAATATTTTCAATGTACGTGATGAGAGGAGATTAGGAAACATTACGAAAATAGATACCAAAATGATTTAGGTACCAAGGACCCATCAAACATCTTCTCACTCCACCATAAAAAATCTGTCCAAAAGGCATTCGATGCTTCCGGGATGATTCGGCGCAACTTCTATGTATTACTCACACGAACATTCATATACTCTACGAGTTTTACGTTGGACCGCTTATTGAACCCGCCAACAGGTTGTCTTATCACAACGCAAAACGGACATAATCTTCATTGAGCGTGTCCAGCGTTCTTCTGGGAACATGTTTGTTGACCTCGAATTCAGTGATTAAGAGATAGGCCTCGTGGTGTCTGATTTTCTCCCTCTGGAGTATCGTCGCCTACGAAGGGATTTAATGCTCACTTATGGCTTGTTCAAACAAGGTTTGACTGATTGACTTTTCACGGTTCAACTAAATGATACACATTTAGGAAGTGTAAGATGATTTGCCATCCCAAAGTGCAGACTTCTGCTGGACTTCTGCTGGGTAGTTGTTTCGTTGAACAACCTTCCCCTGCTGCAATCAGAACCCATTTAAAAGCGCTCCTGAATGCCTTTTTATGTTCTTGTGCTGGAAAGCTTACCGTCCATATGGAGAAAGTTCTATTACTGCTCAAAAATATGGGTTTGTTTTACATATCTTCGTCTTTTGCTCGATAATTGTGAGGACGCGTTATCCGTCAGATTGTCACGCGGCTGGAGTCATAAGAGTTATATTGTTTACCGCATAGAAACGTTTTAAACTGGAGCTTATTGAGTGTGAAAGTCGGTGTAAACACTTGTTGTTTTGCGACGTTGCAGAAGCCAGTAACCATAGTGCGCTTCATGCCCTTCGGTCTCTTCCAGGTTTTCAGCACATATCCCCAGGTTACTCAAATCTAAGCGGCAGATAATCGTATAATACCGTGTTGTATCAAAGGATGGCGATTGTGCTTCATATGTGAGCCATTTTTCACGAGTAAAAGACTATTTCCCGCCGGAGAATGATGAGGTTTAGAGCCGAAACTGGCCACATTCTTATGGTTATGGGCTCAACAGCCTAGTTTGAACCGCTTGTACTTGAGCCTGTTAGGCCTAATAGCGTAGCTGCTGGGAAGTGTTATCTTAAACCGATGAACTCAGTGTGATTAAATGCACACTGAAAGTTAGTACTAACAGAGTGAACCTGTTCACTGTTACATCAAGCGTTCTCAAAAGACTGATGTCTCGTAACTTTGCCGGTTGAAATAAAAGGCGCAATTGCACACAATTGTGTGAGGAACTTTCGCGTGCCCTGCTCTCTGTTGTAGGGGGTTGAACGCTCAAACCCTTGCCTCATCACGAAAAACGGTTAATAAAAAGTGAGACACTGTCGAAACACTATGAGCAGCATTCATATCATAAGAAAAGCTACTCACACTGTTGCTGAAAACTCTTGAGCAGTCTGCCATCGCTCTCACGCTTCTTGGATGTCATCGGGTAGGCCCAATCTCGTGCTTCCGTCAAACGTAAGTAAAGAATATCACTAAGAGGAGATCCAGTTGAGTCTCCTGTGTGAACCAGATTGGTGGGCGAATCAGTGTTCACAACCTATTCGATAAATTTATTGCTGAGGTCGACGAGTTATATGTACTCCCAACTGTGCATATATATTACACTAGGCGCCGTTTATGAGGCGTTTTCACATTAGTGACATTTAATTTTAAAGACAGTTCATTGGGAGCACACTGGTTTTTAATTTATGGTATTAGAGTGTTGACACAGCAGAGCGAAACTTTTATCACCGGAGCCAAACGTGTAAATTCCATTCGCGTGAGTTTAACCACACACAATAAATTCCTGAAAACCGAAAATAGTTATCTAATTTCTAACAAACATTGTAACTGAACCTAAACAGGCATCATTATTACACAAAAGGTTGTGTCTCACAAAATAACTCTGCAAAATCCGGCAATTTATGGAATTCCCGGCTTGTGCTGAGCCTTTCTAGCATAAACACGTTCGAATTTAGGATCCGCTAGGCTGGTGAAAATGAAGCAGATTACTAAGCTTGTAACACCAAAGGAACCATCTCGTGAACATGGGAATGGCTGCACCTTTATTCCCCCTTTATCGTTACTCATTGCCTAGATAAGACACTACTGCATTGTGATGCCAGCACGTGATAGTGGTACATACATCTTAACAGTTCCTTCTACGTGATTGCAGACCAGTCACGTTGTCGTACTGTTGTGATTCATGCACAAGCCAGCATTCTGATTGGTTAGTTGTGCAAAGCCAGGAAATGCGCGCATTCGAATTGCATTAGTGCACAATCCAAGGGATCAGCATCTGGTGCTGATGCTAATCACCTGTCACAAATAAATTGTTCTATTGAGTAATCCTGCAAATCAAAGCATGATTGATTTGGGGGTATGTGTAAAAACTGGGTGATTTTTTCTCGCGATGCACAACGTTCATCTCTTGCGTTGAGTAGTAGGTTTACTTGGAAGCCAACTGCTATTGCCCAAACGAGCGAAATTCCGAAAAACCATGAAGGTCTCGGATATGGAAAGTATGACAATTCGTCTGTCAATAGGATTAAGCCACCCGCTTTAGGGGTGCCGCTATTCGATCACTGTGTGTGTCGTTGTGTCGTTGATTAGTCGTTGAGTCAGTGGTGGCCAACAGCTGGATACCTCTTGATTTATAAAAAACCAAAAAGGGATTTGCCTTCATAAAACGCCAAAGATATACTGTCCTTAGGACCCAGTCAGGGATGCGCACTATTTTACTGACACTGTAAAGTGAGACAGAACCCCTAGAAGTAAATACTTTTGTAAGGAAGATCAATTGTATTAAGCCGTACACATACATCCAGGCATAAGGAATGCGCAAAGGCCGAGAAGGCATACATGTAACAAAGAGTCTTGAATTTTCAGGGCGTATAAGATATTCGACATATCTGGATGAGAGAAGTGATCCAGAGCAATGTGGATCCGAAAAAATCTACACAATTGTTTTGTGGGGAATATTCAGCAGAGAAGTGCTTAGTCGTATTGATCCACACAACCGCATGTATAACAGATAGCACCTGTTGTTGTGACCATCTAATGCCATGCACACCTGATGTTTTCAATGGCAAACTGCTGCGATCTGCACGGAGCTACAGAGCTGCTACCAATTAGATTCAGCAAGTGAATAAATAATGATCTGTTCATACAAAAACATGTTGAAATTGTTCGTTATCTACTATTCGATGGGATCAGAAATGACCACCGTTGGTCTAATTGTCATTGATTTCGGTATAGCTCTGAATCTACGAACCGTGATTGCTAAATAACAAACGCTTTCTAATTCACCTGTTGGTTCGACTCCTGCATAACCAACTAAACACTGTTAAACCAGTGTAAACGCAGTTAAATTGCATGCCTACTGCTCGACACCTAACAGATTTGTCGTTAATAATAATGACCACTTTGTCAAAATAACTTTCTACCCACCATTCTTCATACTGGCTGGTCTTGGTTGCAAGCCGATTAGACTGGCAATTGTTAGATTCCCTGAGGTGAAAGTTTCTAAAAATTGTCTTCAAAAACTTTGCAGAAAGCTATGCTTGGGAGATGAAAAACTCAACAAGCCTAGTTTCAGTCAAATTGACTAACTCAAGTTTCCCTATTAAGGTGGACTTGGATGTGTGTGCGTATTTTACTGTTTGAATCGAAGCAAGAAGTTTCTGAGCACAAACGTTTAAGACCACTTCAAACTCAGCTCAAGAAAAGTTGAATGGAGTTGTCACTCCAGAGTATATTTGTCAAAATCAGTCCAATTTGGATTCAAGTAGAACATAAGGTTGACGGAAACACGGGGACTGTGCCTACCTGATGACCCCCAAGAAGGGTTACCGGTCTTGGGCTGTCTAAGAGCTTTCAGCAACCTGTATATTGTTCGACAACACTTAATTCAAAAGCCAACGCATTTGCCAAGTCATTAAAACTCTACTTATTCTTTTACCGTAGTGAATCGCGGACAGGTGATTCAGTCTGCATCAGCCCATGTTTAACTCTGGCCTATCTTGCCACCCAAATCCAATCAATCTGGGAATTTTTCGAATGTCAGTCGAGTGCGCCCGTTTGCCACCCTCGCCTGTGAAGTCGCTGTCAATCCGAGCAACCGGTCTGCGATTTGACTACGTAGCCTATCGAAGCAGTGGATCAACCTTGAGGAAAAGACCAATAACTGGCTCTCTTCCCAAAACAAACCAAATTTAGATCTAGCCTGCTTGCTTTTTCGTTCTGGTAGATGGAGCGTGAAAGCAAGGGTGCTATGATGAGTATTTGAGGCACGTATGACCGGCGTGTACCAGCTGTCCGAAATTAAAGTGCTCCATACCGAATCAAGTTGTTTTCTTAGACCAAAAATAGACGAACGCGAGTGAGACTCGCAGAGTTGTGTGGACAATCAGATTTGAAAGAATACACGCTTCTGGAATTCAAAACTTGAAGATAACTTATATGAGTGTTCAGGTGTCACGAGTTCCAGATTTAGAATACTCCTTCCGTATGGCAGCACTCTTGGTGAAATCATTTCTTCCTCATACAGTATGCATACTGAACAAAATTCGTTAAATTTTTCTTAGGTTGGCAAGCGTTTTGGTCTTTGCAGGTACGTAGATGGGGAGGTGGTCTGATGGACTATGGGCTGCATAAACGAATGATGGCCATTTGAACCCTCTCCTATACCTAGTATCCACCTTACAGTCTTAGTTCGAATGGGCGGCACTAAATATTCATTGATTTCCAAAAATGGAGTCATTGTTTCTCAAATTAAACGGCTTGGAAGAGGAGGGTAGTTGCCGTGACGGCTACTGATTGGTTACGTTGATCTGTAACGTGTGGATTTGTGTGCGTGTGCGTGAACTTAAGTCACTTGCACACGTTAACATACGGTCCCTTGCATTTGGTTGGCTTAAACGTAGCGCTGCACATTCACCGAAGAATCACGCTAAACAATCAGTGGGATCGATCAATACAACGGTAAATGAGCGCGATGCTGTGGATGTAAAACTTCAAGAATTACACCAGAATATTCAGTAAGTTCTTGTTCAAAAGGGTTTCAGGAGAAATTCGTTAGGAGGTGATTTTCACCAGTTAAATCATCAGCAAGGATTCAGCTTCGGTTATACGGTTCGCTCAAAGATTATCATCAATCTCTTTATGCCCGAAGACAGCAAACACAAACAGATCTGACAGACTGAGAAGTTTTTGACTCGGTTGTGAAGTTGATGATTACATCGGTAGCCGAGCCTGGTGACTTTTGCAAAGGCTCTGTCGCCAGTTGATCAATCCAAATGTTCCTTTAAACACAAAAACGAAGAATCAGGGTCCAAAAACACAGAAGGAAAGCTAGCATGCATTGTCCTTTGAGGGATGGCTAGTCTATCTCCAGTGAAGATCCTGACACAGATGAAAACCTTCTTGAGGTATCAAAATTAGATTTCTGAGGTAAATTAGATGGGCATTTGTATCTGTTCGTATCTAGATTAACTTTCTAACATGGATTGTGACGCAGCCGTGGTAACGAGTTTCAATCAGGTACTGAGTCTCTTGTCTATGATATTCTCCGAGTAGATGTGTTTCAAAAAGGCTGTCTCCTATTTTAGCTGGCAAACTGTTCTAAATATCGCAGTGTATTTTTCTTCACTTCACGCAAGTCAAAAGGCTGCTGAATGCTGGCGGCCGGGGAATTTTCAGCGACTTTTTGAGTAGTGTATCAGGTGAAGAAATAAATACCAGCGATATTAAATTTCAACAGTTTCCAAATGCCTCCTATTACGGGCAAACGAAAATATGCACCAGACAGGCCCGTATTTGGTGAGCCTGCATCCAGTTCACCAAGTAAAATAGACATATAAAACTGTGGGTAGACAGCGATGAACATCATAAACGGAAAAATCAACTGGGTCTCAGGTAAATCACCCGTGAAAATCAAACTGGCATTTGTCAAGATACTGGTCTGCTCACAGTACATGATTCATTCCTTCTAAACAGCCAGCGCAAAATTGGACTGAGTCAGCATCCACTTCCACTACAACTGTCAGTGCTGGTCAAGCTAATTAGTCGGTGCTTGATAGCACACCAACATTTCATAAAGTATTGGACTGGATTACTTGGACAGAGAACAGGCCGTGAATTCGATCCGACGAAATGCTGTGGCTCGCATTTTTAGGAAAGGGTCGTTGAGTGGATATAATCATGAACTGTCACTTTATGCCCTAAATGAACACCAACTTGGCTGGGGTTTCCGGTATTGGCTTCGTATATCTATGTCATTTTAGATCTATGGAAGTTAGCGAAAACTTTGTCCTTATTCTCTTATTGTTCCCATGAGAATGCCAGCAAAAGTTGCTTGTAGCAGTCAAACAAAAGCGGTAGGAAACTTTGAAAGAACACTTGCAAAATTAAAATTTAAGTTACTAGGTGCTAGGATTAGCAGAGGTGCCCAAGAAATCTGGAATATTTCCCCCAAAGTAAGGATATTCCATCTAGTCAACACCAAGTAAATTCAAACGGGACATGCAGACGTAGACCACAAGCAGCGGAAACAGATAAACAATGAAAACTCAACCATCAGTGACACCCACCAGTCGTTTTCCCCGGAGGATCCTGGGTTAGGTTTGATCTGTACTCAGAGAAATATCTTACTACAGAGAATCATGGGATGGCAAAAAGTTTCAATGAACATGTAAACTGAGAAGTCGAAGATATTTTACGGAGTCGTGTGTGCATAGTGAAACAAAGGTAACATAATCTACAAGGTTTTTATGTGAGCTACTAAACGACATATCCAACTTTGTCCTATTCAGTCACATTCTTAACGCTTGATTTCGAAATAGGTGGGGCGAAAAAATGAGACGCGATTGTCTATATTTTCATTATATCAGTGTCCGTCATTTAGTTGTCTTGACATCCTTGTCCTAGGCGTCTCACTAGTGCAACTGTTGCGAGACATCAGGTGTGTATCTTCAGCCGTATCAATCCTCATGTCGTAGTCTTTGAACATTAATTTATCATATAAATTGATTTTTTCTGGTTTCGAGAATAGCCCCAAAAATATTTAGGAAACAAGTACATGAGTCTTGAATTCCTCTGTCACCATTACCTCACGTGACTTGGCTAGATGACAGGAGATGATATTTTCATCCACCTCATGGTGGACCACGAGACAGTTATACTGCATTTTACTGTAGTCCTGTGGCATCATTCAGTGATCCGGCACTGATTAAGAGAATATTGCCGTAACATTTTTACTGCTGTGAAAAACTCTTGGAAACAAGCTAAAATGACACATTGATCTGCTACTGCGACGGCACTGTCACCTTGGTACCGCATGATGTGCCTTTTGGAGGCAAGATAGTGAACCCGCTTTGGGCTCTTGGCATTCGTTCAATGATTTCATCGGACAGACTTCCGTTAGAACTGCTCCAAATACCAGGATATACAAAGCCAACCTGCTCGGAAAATACACTTTGTGTTTTCTAAGTGCAAAATTGTTGCCAGAGGATGGAAGAATACCGAATAGTTTATTCGGTACCGCATCCGTATCCTACGCAGCCCAAGCCCTTGAAATGATGTTAGCCGCTTAATCCTAACCAGCAAGGTTCGTTACAAAAACTATGTGAATATCAGAAGTTTGAGAGACCTCTAATGCTCAATATTATTTATTCGTTGATCAAGCCGCGCAGAAATCGAGAAGGCACACATCCCTCTCGGATACCCCCTGTTGTGGGGAAGCTGGGGGATATCTCCTAATATGCAATCGCACTAGCGAACTATGCTTATTGGCTTCTTTGATGTCCCTTACCTAATCAGAAAAACAAAACCAAAGAGCATTAAGACTGTAGGTTGTCTGCACATATTCTCCTCTTACATTGGATAAACCGAGGAGATTTTGTCCTCCTAGTCCCTGCTGCATAAGAATCATGTCTGATTTTAGAGATCAGGACTTTGCCTATCTTCATAGGACAATTATCAGCAGCATTAGAAAACCTGCTACCGAAGGACAACTCTATGGCTGCCAAGAGTGGCAAGTATGTACAACGGCCTGTTTTCGGAGATCGACGTTAAAGAATTTATTGTTTCCTCCAGAAAAATAGATCCAAGTTGTCAGTATCGGAGACCAGATGGTGTTTGATTGGGGAGGCAAACACTGATACGCATTATTCAAGAACCGCGTTACTGTTGAAGGCCAGCATTCCGATTGAAAAGCAGCCGGAAGCCAACTAAATTATTATTTATTTGCTGCCGGATATCAGTGCGCGATTAAGGTCTCTGTAGGTTCCACTGACAACAGTTTCTCAGAGGTTTGTTGCAAGAATCAAACAAAAAACTTCGGGCAGTTGAAGCATTTTTACTCTTTTCGTTTACCTGACTTTGTACATTCTCCAAGCTACCTAGACTGTACATGCACCAAAAGGCAGATAATTTGTCGAGTTGGGTTGTGGCCGCGATCAGACGAAACGTGTACAGGCTCCCGGGAAATCCATAATCTTGTCATAGGCCCAATGTGTTAAGTTGTAATTATATGGTGTATACAATACATACCATACAATATATGTGGTACAAATGTATATATGTATAGATGTAGTGTCAGAACAATGTTGATGATAAAATGACTGAGTTTGATTCTAAACCGAAACCACCCCCCACCCGTCTCACACGACTTTAAAAACCTCGCATCAATTATTCTTCACGTCCAAAATCTGTTCGCTAGCGGGCTTTGTGGAAATCTTTGAA